AGAGCCCATCCACAAACTTACGGTGATGCTCAGGAAAGCAACACATTAGAGCAAGTGAAACCTCTCCATCGTAGTACCCTATCAACTGAAGTACCATATTTGATGTACCAACCTGATTAAATGGATAAATTGATCGAATAGCATTTCAAATCCTGGCATGCAAGATGGATTGAAGTTTCCTACAATGTTTGTTAGCATGGAGGGTCACCTTTCGTTGGATGCAGTACCTTCAAAGATAGACTTCCATGCTTTGTCAATGTTTTATCACAATATATCATAACCTATTCGGTTGGGCTATGCAATAAAGAAAATAGTGAATTCATATGTAAAGGAATAGCAGCTGGATATGCAGTCCGGATGTATACACACTCTTTGTATTTTTACATGATTGATGGCCTTCAAAATGTTGGTGTGGTTTCGTGTTTAAAAACTTAAAAGTTTCTAACCGTACTCTTCTTTGTAGCTTGTAAAACAAGTTGCTGAGAAGGACCGCAATAGAACAAGAATACTGAAGAAAGCTTTTAACCTGATTGATAACCAAGTGAGTTAATTTGCACTTCCAAGTGGTTGTTTTTTCCCTTTACTTTTCACTCTGTAGTTTAGTAGAAATCTTGTAATATAATCTTTTCCATTTAGTATTCTTCATGACTTAAAAGGTTCTAGGTAAGATCCACTTGTTATTTAGTTAAGAACCCGAATTTCTGTAGTTGTTCACCCCTCTTCACAATTAAATGAAGCAGAGTCAGGGGTTCGAATCCTATCCCGGCCCTATTCTCCAATTTTGTGAAATGACTTGACTTTTTTTTAAGAAAAAAAAACATGACTCCTCTTTCAATGTAATCCAAGATTTTGAGTTTTTGGTAAGTGTACACATCATTGTAAGCATATTCTTCCAGATTTCTTGGTTAATTCGCAGTAATAATTTTTTCGCAATTTTGGTATTTTGTAGAATCTTGGCTTCCTTGACAAAGATCAATGCATTCGTTTGTTCGAGGAACTCAACAAATACAGGTAGAGTTCTCATCCACGAAAGCTTCCCTTGATATAAATGTTTGCAGTAATCTATGATCATTTTACTCAATAAGTTTAATCATTGATGTATAAGGATCATATATATTTCCTTGATGCATGAATGTTTGAGAATCAACTGAAATTATAACTTTAGGGAAAGCATGAAATTGTTGTCACCCAGACAACATTAGTCCTTCAGATGTTGTATCTCTCATTCATTTCCAGCATCTCTTTTTGAATGCAGTGTTCTTAGTTCACTATTTATTTCTGTATGTTGACAACATCTTCTGTTTTCAACATAAGCATAGGACATTGCCAAAAATATCACGAGAGGATTTTGAGTTAATCTTCTACGAGTTGGATGATAGTCATGATGTGAAGGTAGCTTCTTCTACTCCATTTCCATTTTAATGGGTATGTTTCATTTCAACAGCATGTTGCCCATTCCTTTTCATGTATGCACACATTAACTTGCATAGTGATATTGACTATTGGCAATGAACTAACTATTTTTAGATATATATTTTAGATATTTTTTTTGACCGTCATGCTACAAGTTCTCTTCATCTATGCCTTTTATGATGACTTTTATGATGACTTGTAAAGTGCACGTGCAATGCATGTTGTAATTAATTTTTTTTGTTGATTATTTTTCTAGTAAAAAATTAATTAGATTATTAATCATGTCAATAATGGTATAAAATTAAAAACAAATTAATATAAATTGTAAATTCAAATAAAATAACATCATGCTTTTGTAATATATAGAGATTGAAATAACATATTGAGGTGCCGATGTAAAATAGATGGAAAACAACGAGTTTCTAATGAAACTAAAAATAGCTAAATAGGAAAAACCAATATTTAATATGTGTGTCAATTCTTGATGATTGATAAGAGATTTTCTTTCCTTTTACTTTTAAAGTGTTCCTCACTCATTTTTTTTAAGGTTAGTGATTATCCCATGATTTTCAATTTCAAAGTCATTAATGTAAGTTATTCATATAAAATAATTATTAATAACATCTATTAATATATAATAAGGATTAACTTAATTCACTTTTAGTAATCTTTTCCCGCCAAATTCATTAATTATTGTCTAAAATTAGTAACTTAACAAACTTTCATTAATTATATATTGTAATATGGAATAGATATTTTTTTCCGATTAGAATCTCTATAAATATGGAATAGATGTTTTTTCCGATTAGAATCTCTATAAATATTTACTAAACAAACTTTCTATTATATATAATAGATGTTTTTTCCGATTAGAATCTCTACAATATAGAATTTAGAATCTATTCTGTAAAAAAATAATTAAATCTATACTTATATAAAAAGCTATCTTATTTGCTATAATTTGTAATAAGAAAAGTCAAAGGTAATTAATGTATTATATTTTTATTAGGTATTTTATTTAATTATTTATTTAATTATTTTATCCCATAACACCTTTTCAATACAACTTACCATGATTTTTCTATTGTGATTAAAAATCAGATTTTACGTCTAAAATCTTGTGAAATTATTATTATTATTTTTTTAAAACACATATTATTTATTAAAAAATTGTATATATATCTAAATATATATATACATTATACACATCACAGTACCATGATTGAACATGATTTAAATTTCAATCGAACAAAATGCCAATGATATAAATTTGAATACACCTATGTGTTTGACCAAATGTCTGAATGATTTAAAATTGAGCCCATCAAAAACTATTTAAATTTGAACACACTAGAAATTTTATGTACTTTTTTATTATAAATATATTAAAAGTGGTATTTAATAGTTGTTATATAAATCATTTTAATATATTTGTAATGAATAAAAGTTTGAATAAATAATTTATAATGTTATTCATTATGTTTGCGACTTATGATACACGAACACATAACCACATACATATTTGCCAGAAGGCAGCTTAATAATTTTCATAGATTGTTCAAAACTGTAATGAATTAACAAATCGTGAATAAAAAAAAAATCATGAAAATGTTTCATACAGATAAAACGTTACAAACTGATAAAGACTAAAAATAATATGAAAAACTTTTATGTTTGTTTAGATAAACAACATTGATCCAACAAGTTCATCTTTTCTGTTTGGTCAAAATAATAATCAAACTTTATAAATCATTAGCAAATGAAAATCAATTTTAATTGAATGTAGAGTATGTTGTAAAATTGAACGTACAGTATGTTGTAAATCAATTCACACGGTCAAATTTGTGATAATTAAAAGTAACAAACTTAAAAAAAAAAATCAAAAAGTTTAGATCGCATGTGACATGCATCTCGCTCGGCGGAAACCTTTATCATAATTCAGAATGATGGCTGCATCTAAATTTTTAATCTAATAAATGTGTAGAAAAATATGATGGATAAAAACCTCATCATAACGAGAAAACCTTATCTTATAGCAGAATATTGGTTGCATCTAATAGTTTTTTTTATTTGTCAGCATTCTAGCTATACTAAGTAAATAATTATATCATTAAGAATATATTATTGTTATATTATCAAATCATAAAAAGATATTAAATCTATATTGTAAAAGAAATCATATAATTTTCTATATTATATAATATAGAAAATAGTAATTAAATATTATATGGTGAACAAAATAAATAAAATTGTTACTTTCTCTTATATCAATGGATAAATTTATATGCTAAAATTAAATTTTTATTAGTATAAATGTTTTAGTGAGATAATATATTAATTATTTTACAAGCTAGCCCTAACATGCTCATATTTAATGTTCTGGCTAAAAAAACAACGTTGGCTAAAATATGTAGAAAAAAGCTTATGACTCTATTGTTTTTTTGGCTTAATGTTGATTAAAAGAGGTAGAAAATAGATAATAACCCTATTACTTTTTAGATTTAAACTGAAAAGACTGTGAAATAACTCATTTAATATCTCTGTCCCGTGCATCGCACGGGATACATACTAGTATTTTATAATTGGAAGTGTCACATGTAAGTTTGCCCATTATATTAATTATCTTGATTCAAATTTTAAAACATAGGTTTAAGATGGATAATATAAATATAGATAACTCAATCATATGGATTACTCACTATTTATATTTGGGTAATTGTTGTCATTGTGCAAGTATAAAGAGCAATATATTTTTATTTGATATAATTTGGTTACTATTAAATCAAATCGTGAAAGTTGTAGATCATTTATTGATTTTAGTAATTTTATTCATTTTGAGCCAGAACTTCTCTTGACTGAAATTATTAAATAAAACAGCTATGTACTCGTCATTATCCACAATATAATCATTCAATTCAAGCTAAAATTATTCACAATAATATGGATTAAATTGTAAATATCTGTACACAAAATTATTATCAGTTATATAAATATATGTAAATATTAAAATTTGAATCAGTTCATAAATTCTAAGATAATATTCGTAGTTGACTTCTCGGCATGCTGTGAATATTAAATAATGAGTTGGTCTCATATGGTTTAAAAATGTATTTTTAGTCAATCTATAGTGTGCAAGTAAATGTGAAAATTCAATAACAAAATTAATTAAGTAGTAAAGTTGATTTTTCAATAGTGTATTAAATTTATATTAGCTTATTTTCATGTGCTAATTCTATCTTTCAAATTTGTTTTAAAATTCATAGAATTTGTAAAGAAGGATCGGAGCTACATGAGATGAGCATTATATTTTTGTTACTTATATTATGGTTTTATGAAAAATATTATATTATAAATTACTTAATCATATCATGTTCGGACTCATACCGTGTTTAATTAGATCTTTGACATATGATTAGAGTCCTATAATAAGAAAAAGTATATATTTTTTAATAGTTTTTATCTTTAAATAATTATAATTATAATTTTGCCATTAAAAGTTTATTAAGCACAAGTACTTTCTAGTCGATTCATTTTTTTACAAAATAAGTCCTCCTTCTATAATAGTATAGACTAGCACAACACCCGTGTATTACACGGGTGCTTGCTAATTTTTTTCTTAAAATCTAAAATTGATAAGAAAAAAGTAGTTTGAAAATTTAAATACCTTTTATAAGAATATATATATATTATTATATATTTATTATGACACTTCTTATTTGTGCGATTTACTTGTGTTATATTATGCTAATTTTTTTTAACTTACAATATATAAGTACATTACATATAAATATATCAATTGAGAAAATAATTTTATTTTTCTAATGAATTTTAATAAATATTATTATTTTTTATTATTATA